CCCGGTGATTTTTTCGTGTGTGCGCGTACATACATGCGTACGTCGCGGAGTGCAAGAGCAGAGTCGGATGCATCGTCCCGGGAGGACACGTGGCCAATCTCAAATTAAATCTGACCGATCCGAAAACTTTCTTTTTTTTTTAGATCGATACGATACAGGCTTCTATTTTCGTTTATATACTTACCTTTAGAATATTTCGTATTTTTCAGTGAAAATTAACTACTTTCTCTCAAATTAATTACTTTCTCTCTCTATATATATTTTCAATAAAAATTGTTTCCATTATCGAATTCCTATTGTTCGATCAACTTTGTAGAATCAATCATGCTGCAGAAAATTTGTCGCAACTATAATTTTAGCTCTTTTGAATAAATTAGTTTTTTACAACAATATGATCTAACGGAAAGATCGTAAATAGCGACCGCGGCGCGCGCAATTGCTACGAGGGTATGTACGCACGCGCGGGTTGCATGTACGCGGTAAAAATTGCCCAAACTTTCTATATACGAGAGTGTGAAATAATACCTAAGTATCGCAAGGGAAAAGATTGGAAGAACGATCGAGGATCAACAAAAATGCGCGCAGATGAACAAGAATGTTAACGCGACGATAACACATCGCGACAATTATGGGGCGGTGATATAAATTGTTCAACTGTGAAATTAAGGTCGCCGGAATATCGCGAGAGAAAACGACGCGATCTGATTTTTATTTTTGTTTCATCCAAGTGGTATGGAAATTTGTTACACCGAAAAAATTGTATTCTTGTTTTGAGGATATCCCACTTACTTTAAGTATATTTTATACTAAAATAGGCGCCAAGAAGAGTTTCTTATTTTAAGAGGAAAATCCGCTAAATAGTAATATTGATAAGAATATATACTGATTAGAATATAAAAAGCCTCTATAGGAAAACATATATATCTCACTATCGCGCGCGAAAAAGACTATATTCTTAAATTAAGAATATATTCTTAAATAAAGAATATATTCTTAATTTCAGAAGAATATCATCTAAAATCTTTAAGAAGATTTTTTAAGTATAAAATCTTTTACTTACAAAAATATAATTTTTTCGGTGTATATATATATATATATACACGTACACCGAAAAAATTGTATTCTTGTTTTGAGGATATATCCCACTTACTTTAAGTATATTTTATACTAAAATAGGCGCCAAGAAGAGTTTCTTATTTTAAGAGGAAAATCCTCTAAATATTGATAAGAATATATACTGATTAGAATATAAAAAGCCTCTATAGGAAAACATATATATCTCACTATCGAAAAAGACTATATTCTTAAATTAAGAATATATTCTTAAATAAAGAATTATATTCTTAATTTCAGAAGAATATCATCTAGAATCTTTAAGAAGATTTTTTAAGTATAAAATCTTCTACTTACGAGAATATAATTTTTTCGGTGTACGTTAATTTTTTTTCTTACATATTTTACACGAACTTGTACAAAAAAAAGCCTCGCTACTTATATTAACACAATCTTGAGAGTAAAAAGGTTTAAACAATCGCCGGAGACGCGTTGTATCTTACACTTCTATATATTTTTTATCGTTATGATTTTTTTTACCAAGTTTCTTTTTATCGCGTGAAAATCAAGGTCAAGATCGCGCCACGGCGTCATTCAGACGCAAAAGTGCAACGTGAACCCTTTTTACGTACGTACCCCTCCGCGAAGATCCCCATAGAGAGAGAGAGAGAATATATATCTAGCCTACGTCAGCCACCACTCTCTCTCTCTCTTCTTGCTTACATAATATCCGATTGCTTCCCCAGTCCGATTTCGTCCCCTATCTCAAGAGGATTCCCGTGTCCTCTGACCTCTTCTCGTCCTCGTCGCGGTAACCCAATGCCCGCATTTTAATTCCCCGTCTCCTCCTTCCCGCTCGTGCGTATCTAGTTACGTGGCGTTTCTTTATTACGAAAACGGCGCGCCAAGTTATATACGAGGCGCCGTGTATAAAAAACGAACGAGACGTAATTATATCTCAATCTTATTAGGTTTGATTCTCAATGATCCAATGACATATAAGAATATATTGTGAATTTCACAATGGTTCGGTATTCTTCCTGTATTAAAATCCCAGCGAGAGGAGAATAAAATCTTTGAGAATTGTAAATTTATTTGTATTTATTGTCAATTTATATCGGGAAGTTTGTTATGTTTTTTTTTTCTGCTGATTTTACGTTACAGGCATTTTTTTCTATTCAAAAAATAATTCGGATTATAGAGGATTGAAGATGTTTCGGACATCTTCGTGCGTGAAAAAGAAGCGGATGTTCTATCTCGCCGTTCTGTCTTCCGTTCGAGTGTTGCAAGAATTTTTCACATACGGGGGGGAGGGAGGATCCTAACCCGCCCCGATGAACAACCCGCTATTTTTGTGGGTCAAGGTGGCGTCACGAAGGCGCGAGAACCGCAACCCGACCCGCGCCCGTATGCACATGGATGAGTTGCGCGATGCGGTGTTCTTGAGAGAGTTCGTAGGACTCCGGATCATCAGCAGCTTCTTGCTTACCTACATACAATATCCGATTGCTTCCCAGTCGCATTTCTGCCGGATGTGCTGCTCGCGTACGCCGACCTCACTCTCGTCGTACTTCTCCCTCATCGCTTTTGCTTTTCTTCTCTTTTTTTTTTTTTTTTCACCGGAGTAACTCGAGACGAATTCTCTTATTTTTCTCCGTTGTCCAGTGTACGTGTGAGAGAAAGAGAGAGAGAGAGAGAGAGAGAGACGCACGTTCGCCGATCTCCTCTGTACCAGGAAGGATAAAACACGCCGTTTACGCGTGGCGTCGCACTTTTTTAGCCGCACACCGTTTAAACCGCCGCCGCAACGCGATCCGGACGACGCGCGATCGCACCGGTTTTCGAGAAAATCACATTTCTCGCTTGTAAGCGGTAATACGATCCGCGGCACGAGGAGAAGAATTTCTTCCTATTTATGAAATCAAGTCTTTTTTTTTTTTTTTTGTAAAGTACACACTCTCAACAGATATAATTCAACGTGACATATAATTGTTTTTTGTTCTTTTCGATTTTATGTTTTTTTTTTTCAATTTTTGCCGTGGAAAAATTTATTTCGTACACGCACGATGCGATTTGTGCGTTTAAAATGCGGCATACGGCGCGGGCTCATAACGAGCAGGCTCGCGCTATTATCGGTAAACGCCGGAAACTCTGATAAAGTCGTGTCCGTTTCCATCCTTCCCTCGTCGCTTATAAACTTCCTGCTTATTTCTTCCTTCTTCTATTGTGTTCGCTCTGACGCGCTTAAAATTTCATTGTAATTTTCCGTAATTTTCACATCTCGCGGCGCATTTAACCGCTCACACTTTAGACACCTAAATTGTTCTCGAAGCTATTTCTCTCGCTAATTCGCGCGCGTTGGTCGAGATTTTGAAATACAAAAAAAAAAAAAAGAACACGAAGAAAATTCTACATTTTTTTTTTTGCTATTTTGTCGTAATGCGAAATAAACGATAGAGATCGTCGTATAATGACGTTTTAAATACTTCTTCATTTTCTAAAATTGCAATCTGTCATTAAAAATGACTTTATAAATCGTTAGAATCTTCAGATCGCGTTGACTCATCAATAGATCGTTAACTTCTATTCCAAGACTAGCGTTTTTTTTTTTTTATCGTAACGTTGCTCAAAAATTGCATAAGCAATTTAGACTCTCACTTGCACGTTCCGTTAGTTTCTCTCTATTTAAAAAAAAAAAAAAAAAAACCACGTTCTGTTATTATATTAACAACCAAAAGAATTCTCTTTTCCATTTGCGAACGGACCAAGTGAGATCTAAAACAAGTTTTTATTACCCGGGATTTTGTCGCGGACGCGCATTTGCGCGCACATTTGAAAATAGCTTATGTGTTCAACCGCTCTCTCTACGCTCGGTCCGAGAAACCTATGCATATTCATAGTCACGTAAATGTAAGGGAGGGAGGAGGGGAGGAAAACGCCGCGAGTCCGCGAAACAATAGTTTGCGAGTGGTCACGTAAAAAGAGGCCACAGCAGATACGGTAGCTTCCGTCGGAGACACGTGTGTGTGTGCGTGTGGTTCTTCTATTCTCTTTACCTGGCCTGAACGAAAATGCACCGCACCGTCGCGCAATTGATTTTTACCACCGGAAAAATCCGACGGTGCCGCGCGCAATTGTATTTTTGAACCTTTTTACATAATTAAGTAACAGAAAAAAAAAAAAAAAAAAGAGAATCTCTCTTTTGCGTGGGAGGAACAAACGATCACTGTGTTGCGCAAAGTTTACGTCGCGTTTGCGCGATTACAAAAATAAAAAAAAATAAAAATTATGTGCGAAAAGAAAATTCGACGATATGACGACGGTCGTCGGGTTCGATTAACAATTGGAGCAATAATAAATGTTAGTTTACTATTGTTAAAAAAATTAATATTTTTATTGCCAAGCGTGCCAAGATACACCGGCTTGTTAATTAATTACGTTCCAACAGATAACGCGTTTGTAAATTAAATAAAATATTAGATTTTTTTTATTAGATGTACGCAGGATAATGCGTGTGTGCGTGCGTGCGTGTGTTTGTTTGTTGTGCGTCTGTGCAGTTGCATAATTACATCTCAGGTACTTAGCAACACGATCCCATTGACCACTGTATCAAATATTACGTCAGATTAAGAAATCAAGGATATTGCATTACGCGCGATATTTATCGCGCAATATTAACCTTATCGTTTGTTCGAGTCGAATCATTGCTTTTGACAATCGCGAAGACTATTATATACGCGCGCTAAACTCAATCCGCAATTGAGAATCGGCAGCTCCCGATTATCTCGCGATTCGACTTATTTTCGTTTTTTTTTAGTTGCAAATTACGTGTACGCGATACAAAAAAAAAAAATAATAATAGCGAAAAGGATTTCGCGATGTGTGTCCGTTGCGTTTGTAAGAAAGAGAGTCCACAAGGTGTGAATCGGTGTGAATGTAAAACGCAGTGCACAACATCGGTGAGGCGGAGTACTATACGGAGGGTCGCGAGTGCGTGAACTGCGGGGCGATTTCCACACCCCTCTGGCGTAGGGACGGAACCGGGCATTACCTCTGCAACGCGTGCGGTCTCTACCACAAGATGAACGGAATGAATCGGCCTCTAGTTAAACAGCCACGTCGCCTGGTAAGGAAGACCACTTCGCGACCAACACCACCACCTCCTTCTTCTCCACCGCAATCCCGGAACGGAATTGTACATAACACACAGCTGTCGCAAAACACGATGGATCGTTGTACACTTGTTTGTATTTGGATCTTTTAATTCACGCTTTTAATCTCCGCTTTATCTCCGTTGCTGGCGTCGATCAATCGAGAGATGCAGGAAAATTTTGAAAATAAGATTTAACAACGTAAAAAAGTTTGAAAAAAAAAAAAAAAAGTACAAATTGGATGAAGTGAGCAAAAGCAAAAGTGTTGCGCACGTGTTAACTCCGTGAAGCCGAAAAGGTAAAAAATTCGAAAATAAAAAAAAAAAAAAAAGGAAAAGGACAGTCGGAAAGGAGGAAATAGAGGGAGAGAGAAACACGCAAAAGGATCTTTTCTCGTTCGCACTTTTTGTCCGGGAGGAACTATGGGGGAAATCGCCCGTGATGTTGTCGCCCTTTACTATCGCATCAGTATATTGTAAACAAGTGACGTTTGAAGCGATCGGAAACTAAAAAAAATGAATAAAAAAATGTTCTATTCACACCCGATGTGTGTGTGCGTGTTTTTGGCAAAGACGCGCAGGAAAAGAAATGTCCTTAACGCATGGCCTCATGTCTGTTTCAGTGGCGGACCAGGGGGGCGAATACTACAAAACCTTCTGTGGGTATAGTGGCGCCCGTCGTGGCGCCTTCGCGGAGGAGAAATCGAGCCGTCGTTTGGTAGGTGTCATCCTCCCAAGTCAGCATTCTCTCTCTCTCTCTTTCTCTCTCTTTTCTCTTTTTCTGTCCCCTTCTCTCTAACGATATGGTGGTGATATGTTTCCTTCTCGCCTCTTTTTCTTCTCCCCCCCCCTCCCGCCGTCTACAACTAACCGTTGTCATCAACATTCCTCCGATTTCCTGTAGATTGTATCGCTCTTCCTGTTTCACTCAGAAAAAAAAAAAAAAAAAAAAAAACTCGTCAATCTTGTCGTTGTGATCCCTTTTTGTAGTTGTGCATATAAGAGTAGTATACTGTAACGTTGGTTGTGGTGAATAATCGTTAACAACGAGACGAACAACGAATCGCGGTAAGATAGAAAAAAAAAAATGGCGCTCTTCTTTATCTTGACGCGATTCGTCGCTCGTCACTGTACTAAGAAGCAGTTTTAATACATTTGATCTGAAATGGGTATTGGTGATTGTAATTACACTACCGAGTGGTTTGCATGTTGTTAATGTACATTTTTAGTGTGTTTTTGAAGTTTATAACATATGTACGTATTATTTTTGCGAATTAACTTAAAATGTTTTGCTACATCGCGTGTAATATCCGATGAGCTATTGTAATGTAACTCGTGTGTCTGATATTCCAATAGAATGGGAAAAAAGATTTGTGTTCGAGAAACGCGAAGAGATTCATTCAAGAATCTTCAACGCGCTTTGTGAATTGCGTCAAATTTAGATAAAAAAAAAAAAAATCAGAGAAAGTAAATATGCTTGAACAAACAATCTGCTTTTAATAATCGAAAAAAAAAAAAAACTGCTTATGATCATCAGGGATCGACAATGTTTTTCCTCTCTCTGTCTCTTCCGAGTTCCTCAATCTCGCTCTATCTAGCGCAAACATATCACGCTTTCTTCGATCACGATTCATTTTGTACATAACGTCGAAGTAGCGCCCGACCTCGATCGCGCGCCGCGACGAAGACAGTCGACGTTAATTTGGTTTTTGTTTTTTTCACTTCGCTAACTGTCTTCGTCGTTGGCGTTTTTTTTTTTTTTAGCGCGTCTCCAGAGAGTATGTGGAAGACACACACACTCGAGTCGTAGCCCCGAGGTGCCACTATACCCATGGCAACGAGCACACTCTCCCTCCCGAAATCACGTGCAGCCTGTGTTATTTTTCTTTTTCTTTTTTTTTTATTTATTAAAAGTATATACACGTCTCTCGCAAATCTCACGTTTTTTTGCGATTTTTCCAAACCACACGGAATGATTCTTTGTGTTTGTTGAGTTTTTCCAGGCTCGCGCGTTTGATCTCTTCGTGACCGAGGGTGGCTCGCTTTACGGCTCCGCGGTCTCTCTCTGTGGTAACCTTGCATAGAAAAACTTTCTATTCACGGTAAACTCTCATCTAATCCTTTCCCGTGTTCTCTCTTCGGAGTTTTGTTGTCAGTATAATAACAGCAACGGCGAAAGCAACAAAAAAAAAAAAAAAAAAAAAATTAACGACACCACAAGATTTCACACAAATAAAATAACACACACACACACACACACACATGCGCACACGTAAAAGTTTTCTCGTATACACCTACTTATTTTTTGTATTAATTTTGCACCAGACTAAAGTTACTGTAACGTTTTAGGTTTGCATGAATTCTCTCTCACATTAACTTAAAGTTCTCTCTTTCTCAGAAAAAAAAGAACGAAACACATTTCGTTCTTTTTTTTTTTTTTTAAACATTTTGTAGAATTGTAGAATTGTATTAACCCGTTTCATATTTTCCCAGGCTGCCAACAGGCGCATTGACCTCTCTTGCAGCAACTGCGAGACGCGAATGACGTCGTTGTGGCGTCGCAACGCAATGGGGGAACCGGTGTGCAATGCTTGTGGTCTTTATTTCAAGTTGCACGGTGTCAACAGGCCGTCGACCATGAAGAAGGACAGCATTCAAACGCGCAAACGGAAGCCCAAGGGTGGTATGAAGAGCTGCGACACGCCGCTTTCCAACAACGTCGCGCAGTGTGCGAACAACAACAACAACAATACACGCCCGTATTCACGTATGTAAAGTTTTTTTTTTTTTTTTTTTTCATAAAAAGAAAAACGCACTTCTCGAGAAAGCGGAAAACACGTTTTTGCTCGATCGATTGGTCCTAACTAATTGGCAACTCCGCGCGCGAGATTTCTCCCGTCCAATCTCGCGTATTATCGCGAAGTCTTTTTGTGCCACCGTCTTTGATATAAATTTTTTCTTCCGTAAAAAGTCTCTTTTTCGTCAAAAAGAAAGAAAATTGATTTAATATACAAAAATTATTTTATTATTTTTTGCAATTAACAGCACTCACTTGCGCCTCAAAGATACCCGTCGGCTCGGTGTACGCAAACGACCTGTACAACAGTCCTCAGCTTTCGAAAATAGTATGCTATCAACCTTCGATGTACTATGACGTTACGCAACAGCAACAGCAACAACAGCACCAACAGCTGATGGAGACTCACTCGCCGAAGATCGAGTGCCCATCTCCGCCAAGCACGCGCTCACCCGGAATGATATCCGCCGGACAGTCGCCCGATCATCATCAGCTCGCTTCGCCGCATATCGTCACGTTGGGAAATTCGTCGACCAGTCCAGGCGGGACCAAACTCATGCTGGACAACGGTCATCTGGAGAGGCCCACGGTCGTATCCATATCGTCTTAAGAAGGATTCGTCAAAATTTGTGATATACCGCGCGTGTTATGTACACCTTTTCATTTTCGGAATGCGATGTGTGGTGGTGTGTTTTAAGAACTCGGTTCCAACATCTGTTTTCAATTGAAAGTGTTTTTGTTTGCAATTTATTTCTCTCGTCTTTATTTTTTTTTTTTCTTTGTTGACCGTTTCACCGCGGGAACTCGGACGCAAAAAAGCGCACACCGTGTGCTATATATATATATATATGTATAATTATATATAACTTGAAACATTAACAAAACATAAAAAATAAATATACAGAGATGTAGGATTAATTAGAATGTATGACATTGTTAAACAAAAAAGTTTGGTTAGGTAATGTGTAAAAAAAATTACGAGTTTGCAGAAGAGTGCCGAAAGTGCCTACGAGCTTGCGACAAAAATTTGGCTGGACATCTGTAGCAATATATATATTGAGTATGTACGTATAACGCATTTCTCGAGCGTTTGCGCATACATATATATAGGTGTCAATGGCGATGAAAGAAATAACAAATATTTTGCATAAAAACTCGCGTGTAAATAATGCACTAGATGAAATACTACGGTGGCACTGCAATCGGTTGGTTTCGAGCGACGAAGAAAACGCGAGGGAAGAAATGCTCGAAATATATTTTAACTTATGTGACAGCAACATCGTTGCGACGCATGTAATTTTCGGAAAAATGAAAAAATGAAAAAAAAATTGTATCTCAACAACAACAAAGTGTTTGCGAGAAAAGTGATTTTCTCTCGCGAAATGCTTTCTTTACGAGACAACATTCGTTGTAAACAATTAAAGTGAAACACATCTTCTATGTTGTGGTTAAGAATTCTTGAAGTGAAGAATTCTTGAAATATTGTCACTCAGAATCTCAGTGTAATACTTATCAATGAAACTTTAGCCGCTCGGGTGTTACGCGTACATTCGATACGAATACAGCAGAGTTTCCTCTCGTTTTTTTTTTTTAAGTCCTCGCTTCTCGGGTGATTCTTATATCCTTGCGATCATCGATTTTTTTTTTTTCCCCCTAAGTTCTCATCTCGTGCCGCCGTATGATTGATTGTGCATGCGCGGAACATATTCTCGCCATATGCGCGTCGTGCTGGATCGGGTTGCCTGCAACAATAAGTGTTTTCGAAGAAAAAGAGGACGGTTAGCGCTTACCCTATTTTCCACCTCAGGTTAACGCGGGAGAAAAATGAAAGTAAAATATTAGAAGATTCTCCCTAAAACCCTCGGACGGTCCGTAATCACCGCGGACGTAAACCCTCGGAAAGTCCGCCCGGACGACGTCGGCACTTTAAAAAAAAATGACAGTATCCGCGAGGGGGCGAGGGAAAGAGGACGAATTGACAACTCTGACGATTACTGTAAACGAGTAAGAGGAATAAACAGGAAAAAATTTGAGAAGTGAAGGCTGAACGGATTTTAATTGGTAACTCGAGAATCAACGGAAATTCTGCTGTAAAATTGTTTTTTTTTTTTTTTTTTAAATATGTTACTTTTAAGTATATTCGTCAATTTTATGTGCTCTACGACTTGACGTCGTAAACAAATCCGTTTACAAAATACGCATTCCATTTCTTTCTTCATTCAGCTGGACGATCATCTAGCTGAATATTTTCCCTCCACCCGGCATTGTGATACGCACATGATCGAGAAGTATATATATATATATATATAATTTATATATATATATTATCGAGAAAATTATATATAAATTTATTGTTAGTGACAATAAATTACGTACTCAATGTATGCGCGCGCACGTATTTCCGTAATACGGATGTCGAACCTCGCTGAAGTGAAAATCTCCGGAGACCGGATGCGCAATCGATATTGTGAAAAAACAAAAAAATTTTATTTTTCTCCGTGCACGCGTTGAATTGAAGTGGAAGTGTACGTTTTAAAGTGAAAATGGCAGCACGAGAGGAGAAGTTCACTTTAGCAAAACACAAAATCTTTCTCTTTCGCGACAATTTCGTCTTATCGCGGCATTCGCCTTTTATTGAAGTTCGACCGCAGTACGTGTATATGTTACGCATGTAAATTTGCATAAACACATGGTATATATTTGACTTCGAATTTAAACAACACACGTCCGGTTCTCCGTCATTCCGTTTCTATTCTTACAGATCTCGCGGTGTGCGGATGATCCGATCTTTACGCGAGCGCAAGGAAAACCTATGCGATTGTTTTTTTTTTTTTTTTTTTTAAATAGGCTTCGAATGATCGATTCGTGAAAATTACAGAATTTTAATTTTTGTTTTTTTTTAATCTCTTTTTTTGCACCTGTTGCGCGCTCTCTCTTTTCTATAAGCGCAGCATTAGATTTATACATCATATAATTTTAGAGATTCTGTGTTAAATATATATACGTTATGGCCAAAAATTATTTGTAACATACATGTGATCATAATCAACAATGTGTATATGTATATTTATATACAAATATGGTAGTTACACAAATGGTGCTACACAATAGGACCTGTAAATAAGCTATCTTGTGTGGAGAATATTTTGTAAAAAAAAAAAAAAATTTTATGTAAAGTACAACTACATACGTTACACAGGTGTAAATTTCTATATGCTTATGTAAGCGAATTTACATCTCTCTTGCAGATGAAAAATTAGTTTCTTTTTTTAAATAAATTTACAGAAATTTGCAGAAACCGACGAAAGCAAAATTTGTGAATTGTTGCGTGTGTACAGCACCAGGCAGGGTAATAAAATATACAAAAATATAATAATAATAACAATTTGTACATTTACATAAAATCTTTACACAATACGCTATATTGTTTATGTAAGATTTCTATTAGTAACGATTTGATATAGTTACGCGAAAAAAGCGAGATATGAAAATTATCTCTTATGTAAATTATACCTGGTTTTTAATTTGCATATTATGTGTGCGTGTCTGTTATTATCAAGTCTTTTGCAGGCAAAATTTCAAAAATTATGTATCATTTTGAAGTATTTGCCATTTCTTTTTTTTTTTTTTATAGTAACGTTCAAAGAAAAAAGAAAAAGTTTAAAAACAATCGATCGATTCGCAACATTTTGTTGTTTGCGGACAATTTTGCCGCACCAAAGTACGTTCCGTTCAAATGCGACGAATAGTAAGGGCTGACACTTCTTGCAAAGAAGAAAAAAAAAGAGACAATCGTAAATCTCATAAACAATCAGATATGACTGATAATTTTTCGAAATTGTTGATACATAAATTTTCTCATATAACGCATGTGACTTACGATTATCTCGCAAAAAAATTTCATACATAGCACAAATAAATTAGATATTCTTTTAATTCTCTCTTTCTAGATTTATTAAGAAAAATTATTACAAAAATAAATTTTATTACTTCATTAAATTTTTAATTTCTATCTCCTTAACCTCCAACGCACGACGGGGAAGAGAGTTTGGGGAAGAGAATCGAAGACTTGATCTCAGATAAAAATAACTTCGATTATTTAATCTACAATTTTCTTCTTTCTTTTTCTTTTTTTAAAAATATTTTTTGATCTGATATTATAATATCTCGGTTATTATTTCTAGGAATAAAAACGTTTATTTAAAAATCTTTGTGCTCTCTCGTACGTCTTTATGTCATATAAACGCATCACACTTGTTTCATAGATTTTACATTTTTCATATTACAAATAAAAATTAAATATTACTTTTATATATTATTATAACGATAAAAAGTAAATGTGAAAAAAGTATAACGTGCACATTGATAGTACATAAAACGCATTATGTTTTTCTTCAGAATTTCAGTTTTATTGTCATTTGAAAAAAAGTGACACTTTTATTACGCTCAAAAATTATCAAAGAAGATTATCTGCGAGTTGGGATTGTAAAGTAGGTAGTAACTTAACGTGAAAACAGTGCTCAGCTGACAAGACCAAGAAGTCAGTGAACGGCCGGAGAACGGGGTTCATCCTTGTGTATTTTTCGACGATAATGCAATGTCTCGCCTAATCTTTGTGCGAGCCACGCATGCTCCGTCCTGCTTTATTAGCACTGGCGTAACCAGAGAAAGTATATTAAATTTCAACAACAACAAAAATATCGCAATATATCATCCATCTAAACTATCATAGAAATTGCTCTCGTCAGTTAGCTACATATTAGAAACCTCATGTTTTTCCAATGATGTCGAACTGTTTCGTCTGTGTTTTTTTTTACGCTCGTTTTTGCTTTGAAAGAGCCAGGGAGTCTCGAGAAAAAAGAAACTCCAGGAATCTTGAGAAAAAAAATAGAAACTCTATGGCATCCATAATGCACTTTTCTATTTTTCTTTTTTTAGAAAACAAACAAAATTCCTAATCCTTGCCAAATGATAAATGACATTCCTGTTGTCACTTCTTGTTAAACGGATCGTAAAGGTTTTTCTTTGCGGTTTAAACAAATATTTTGTTTTGAATGAAGTGAAAGTTTTAACACACATCAAATTACAGAAAACAATAATCCAAACAAGTTTTTTTTTACCGCGCGGTCGTATATAATTTTATTATTTATCCTTAAAGATCTTTTTAATTAATTAATTTATTTATTTATTTTTTTTTTGAAAGATTTCTGTAATAATAAAATATAACGGAAAAATAGAATTTAATCTTAATCTTGCGTAATGTGACACTCATTATCGTTCTATGTCTAACAAGAAGATTGTTTGAACAAATTTCGTAATCATCGAGCAGTCACTATTGTCCTTGTGCGATTACACACAATTTGTTAAATTTATATTAAATACTTAATTATATATAAACGTATATTTATTTATACGACAGTTGCGACAAAAGATGAAAAAAAAAAAAAAATAATTGCGGCGAATTATAAATTTCGATTACGCCATTGCATCTGAGGCAATAACACCGGATCGTCGTCTTATTAGGACGGTGTCTCACCTGAAAGTCTTATCACAACGGTACCCCCGTGTGTGTTTTGTAACCATGGCAACCACGGGCTACCCTCCGCCCTCAAACGTGGTGTTTCTCCCTCTCTCTCTCTCTCTCTCTCTGACCAGGCGATAAGAAGTCCCGCGCTTTACCTGTAGATGCGTATCGCACGAGAGTGCGCGCTCGTATGCGAACGGCAAGCTAATCTCTCATCAGGAAGCTTTACGAAAATAAACGTGTGAAGGATAAAAGTAATAAATCATAAACGAAATGAAGGATGGGATAAAATATTTTCCGTAACATCCGTATAATTTTTTTCCTCGACATGTGCAAATAAATCTATTTGAGCAGAAAATTGACAATGCGCAAATTATAATTAAAAAAAAAACAAAAAAAATTCGCTATCTTTAAAAGAATTCCAAATTTCGTGAAACACCAAATCTGTGAGATTCCGCGAAAAATTTGAAAAAGTTATATTGTCGGACTATTGTGGAACAAATTACTTCTTTGGGAATTTTAGAAATTATTGAATTATAATTCGTAAAAAGTCATAAATTTCTGGAAGAATAAGTGGGAAATTAAAAACCACGTTATACATGTATATCAATTTGAAAGGCACCGCGAGAAGATAAAAGAGAATAGAAGAAAGAGAGATATTAATGCGAAAAAGTGCAAAAAACAAATCAAACAAATCTGTGTACGTCATTCAACACACAATTGTAATTTATTTATTACAGTCATCATAACATACATGCGATGAATTTGTATTACATAACAACATAAAGTGGCGCAATTGTTTAAATCTCTACTATAATTTTTTTTTTTTTGACGCGAATTATTTTCTTTTTCTAAAACGCGTGCGACATTTTAAATTTCCAACGAGGAGTCGAATCTTTCCGCTCTTGTTCAAGTGTGTTTAAGTTCATGCGAGAAAACTCTCTCGCCACACACCATCACCTCTCTCTTCCGTCCGTAACACACGCTTTCGCAATATTGCCGCTGATGATGAGGAAGAGAAGAGCGCGGGAAGCAGAGGGAGATTGGCCGTGTACCACAGTATGGCGTTCGCAGAAGTGGGCCTAGCGACACCGCGGCAGCACCTAATCGTCGTCAGTCAATATTTGATAGGCTCGCGGATCAAATCGAAGCTTCGATCTTGCGCTACCAGGCGGCATATAACAACGACCGGCGGCCAGAAGCGAAAGAACGACGGCGGCGACGACGACGTCGGCGAACCAGCGGCGGCGACCACCACCTTCTTGGCTATCCTCGTGGAAGGAAAAACGCACCTGTGTCAAGCGCGCGCCGCGTGCGTGTATCTCGCTCACAAACTCACTCGCGAAGTAACCAGCGGGCCCGAAGAGTGAGCTTCAAGATCGCGTCGAAGTCACACACACGTTGTGTTATCACACGACGAATTTCCATTCCGGAAAGAGAAATTAAACTTCACACAAAAAACAGCCGACGCTTCTCTTCCTCAGTAACCGGTGACTTGTAAGTTAAAAAGTCCATTATTTTTTGCTTGTTCTTCTCCGGTGATTTTTCACCGGTTCGATGACAATGAAATCGGCGTCGCGACGCCTCTCGGCGTCGAATGAGAGAGCAAACACACACGCTTGTATGACGGATTTGATATGTCGCGAGTAGCAGACGTTATTACCTGCCGCACACGCTGTGTATCGCTTCGCGTTTGTGGTAGATGATTAATGTTTCGGAAACGTCAAACCCAACGAGCAATTGAAAGCGATTCACTCGAGCAATCGACTCGTTGAATCAATAGCAGAGATTTAATATAAACAAGAGAGTCTTCGATGACAATTTGTTTTCTTCACGTTCGGATGAGATAGATTTTGTTTTCGCGCGCGTTATACAACGACGAGAGTGTTAATTAATATGGCGCTGTTAAAATTCATTATAAATCGTTTTTTTTTTTTTTTCGAAACGTAAAAGCGATTTATTGTCGAAATTTCGGATCGCGAACGAACTTCGCGCGAAGAAACTTCGTACTCGGTTGAGAAACGTCGGATCAAGGTGCGCGCGATTTTACCTCTGATCGACGTTCGGCGGCGACGAGAAGAAGAAGAAGCCGGTACCACGAGCGAGAACATCCGTGGCACCTCGAGCACATGAACGCGTGCATGAAGGAACACTTGTGTTTTATATTCGGGCCGCTTTAACACTTGTGTTTCGCTTCCTCCTCTTCATCAATATGAAATCTAGATCTGTCTCTCTCTTTCTTTCTCTCTCTCTCTTTCTCCGCTCTTTCTATCTTTTTTAATTGTGCCTTTTTCAAGGTCTTGGTTCACGCGTCGATTCATCTGTTTTCTTCTCACACAAAGATCGCGTAAACTCGCGGCGAAATATAAATTGTCACTCGTCGAATTGAGAATTTTTTCAATTTGAAAAAAAAAAAACATTTTGACTCGACGTTTCGAATTTTTCACTCGAACGCAAACTTCGACTCGACGTTTTTCTAAAAATATAAGTTGTAACATAATTTTATGTAATTTTGCAACAACGATATAACACTTCGCACTTTGCTTTGTTTATTTAAGGTTGTATTCAGGGTAAGATCTCGGTCAAAAGTTGAAGAAACATATAGCGTAAACCGAAGCTATTTTAATATTTAGATAACAATTGTTTGCTGGAAAAGTATTATTTGTATTAAAATAAATAAGTTAAAAAAACTATTTATTATAGTTTTAATGACTACAAAAAAGTTTTTACGTATATTTTGTGCCCTTTTAATGTTCACTTTTGATACTTTTTTGAGTAGGATTATACTCCACTTGCAACGTAAGATAAATGAAAACCTGGAGAAATGTATTAATCATAAAAGTTGGTTAAAACGTAACAATTGATGTACATACAATTACAAATATAATTGTTTTACGTATATTAAATATATATTTTTATATAATTTTAGCAAAATATAAATTTATATTTTATGTGATATTCTCGAAATGATATATTTCTATTTTTTCGAGTGGGGAATTTGTTTTTAAGATATTTATTAACAACTGCAAACAATTTCAAAATTACGGCATATCTGCATCTACAGTTACGTTTTAATTTATATCAGAATATCGTAAAATCTCCCATAAGAACTCGTTGTTAAATTAAAATCGTACTAACTTTTTAACAAGACTCGCAAAGGAGCTGAAATTTTGCACAATGTTTTTTTTTTTTATTATCTACTGACTGGCAAAATTTGAATAATCTGGCATATCTCACCCTGAACACAACCTTAACTTTACGCGTTCTTATTTTTCGCGTTCAAATAATCGCGGTGGAAAATAACGCGACTTATGGAACGCGCGCGAGTTCATTAAAGTATGCGTAATTTCCAGTTGCACAAAAAAAAAAAAAAAAACGATCGCGGCAATATTTGCAGACGCGTTTCAAAACACTCTCCTCCGTTTTTTACGGTGTATTAATTTTTAATATTTAATTAACTTAACTGAGAGACGTCTCTCTGACATCCTCTGAACCGTCCAGATTGCACGATTGTAGCGCAAATATCGAAACTGATCGATCCGACCGGTTCGATTCCGACCAACGCGAGTTTCGCAGCGAGTGAACTCGAAAGCGACGGAAGATCTCACCGACTGTGAACCGTATTCTCACGGATAAGACGTAGGATATATTTGTAGTATTTTTTTGATTTTTTTTTTTTAATCCGACAACATTTAACGAGACGATCGATCGCACGTTTTCGAGTGTTTGACATCGCATATGTTTCGAGGATTTTGCGTAGACGTACATACATCGCATATGTTACTTTTACCACGCGACGGTCGTATACGCTCGAAATTTCATCACTGCCGACCTCACACTCCACTTATTTCCATTTCCACTATATATATATATATATGTATATATATACTTTGAACTCCGAAGTATCAAATTCACGAAACTTCTCCTCCGTTCACGATCACAATCACGATCTCGAAGAGCCATACTGTGCGCGTACGAGACGCGTCTTCTTCATCTTCTCGTTAACGTAACAACGTTGTTTGCTCCGCGATTTTGTCGAAAAACCGAACTTGTCTTCGCGCCCAAAAACGCGAATTCGACGCGAATTTAGATCTCTCTCGTCTCTTTGTCGCCGGTTTCCGAAATCCGGATTTTTAAAAATCCAAAAGAAGTTGGACGCGCGACGTCGACAATCGGTGAGTCTCGCGGCGTCTGGCACGAAACTATTCCCTCTGCCAAGAAGAGAGATATCCTCCGAGCGCAGATAATATTTTATTAATCATTAAGCACATAGCTGCCGTACATATAAGATAATGGGAATAATATCAGGCAATGACGATAATAATGTTTGTCGTGCACGTTAATTATTGGTCCTCGCGCATCGATTCGCGCATCGCTCCGTCGGCGGTGTCGTCTTCGTTCGACCGTGCACATGACCGATCGCGTTTTGCGTCGATTTGTTTCGGAACACGTTGACGTTTTCTTTACTTATTTTATCTACTTATTTATTTTTTTTTTTTTTTAATTTGAGATCAAAACGTAAGCGTGCACAAACTTGATAAGATATTAAAAAAAAAAACAAACAAAATAAGTTTGATTTCAAAATCAATCGCGTTGGTTCGTTGCCTTGGCTTTTCGTTCTCTTTATTAAATCGTTCGGATTCGTCGTTTCGTCACATCATAGAAATCAGAAAATAGCAGAGATAACAATTTGTCACCTACGGTGATCGTCGTCAAACGATTTGGAAACTTCGGTAATCCGAATAGATCTGATAAAAGATGGATGTTGCGAAACACACATTCAATCACGAAAAAAAAAAAACATTTTCTATAATATCTCAATATGTGGTGTCGATTTCTCTTTCAATGGTCTCTTGCTTCGTGCAATGTCACAAATACGTACTCGAAAAGAAGGCGTCGGATAAACGCGCACTTAAGGACGGTTTTTATTAAAAATACACTTTGTTAAAGAAAAGTGATGATTTTAATTTTTTATTAAAAAATACACAAAACACGCACGTATATTGAAAAAACTGATTTATTTTTATAACTCTGCGCGACTTGCAATCACCTGAAAGCTGATACATGACACGATACATTATATACGAAAGAAGATCCAATAATAAAAAGCCGAGATCGAAAATATCCCCGGTGACGTAATGAGAAAAAAAAAGCGACACAGGTTTTCGTGCCGAATATACGATTCCGGTGTAAATCATTTTTTTTTTTTCCCAAGGTCTCACACGCTGCTCCATTTGAAGAAACCGAGCGATCGTAATACAAATATTGGAATAAAAAGTTTCGATCCCGGTCGCTGCAGAAATGCAAACATCACCATGGCGATACAAATGTGCTCGTCTCTTTTTTTCGAGAGGAAACGATAGACGATTCCCCTCCCCCCTCCCCGAAAATTTTTTTATCGACGCCGAATAGTTGCGTGTTTTTCTCTTGGATTCCGATCTCATAAATTGTTGTTTTGTTTGCGGAAACAACAAGCGAATAAAAAACAACGAAATTATTATTTCAATGGCATCGAAAAATCGGCCTGTTGTTTTCCCTGATGTTTTTTGATGTCAAATTCACTTTAAAGACAATTGTCTCTAAAAAATTGTTTCGAGTCCGTCGTGCTTAGTCATTGTCTGTTGTAGTTTAGACCTCGCGCTCTTTTTTTTTTTCGGGCGAAACTTTATGACGAACGAGCGCACTATTTGCGACGAAAACATAATGAGCAGAGAGAGAGGAACTTTGTTTGCGATGTTAATCCCGTCAACGCTAAAACTGAGACAGTTCTCTCCGTCCCGTTGTAAATTTCAAGTAAATTGCGCCGTAAAACCCACCTTTGCATACCTTGGGAGAAACGTGTATGTGTGTGTGTGTGTGTGTGAGGCATTGCGTCTCGATAAACACACGGCCGATTAGGCCGTAAAAGGACGTTTGCGCTTGCCATTTTGGTGCACACGAGCGTGCGTTTTTATACGCACCATGCTTGCGTGTAAGACGATGGCAAATTGTAATAAAGTTTTATTGTATCTTCTCTCGGTATATTCAATAACAGCCGGTGTCTATAATGTCACGTTTTTCTAAAACCCCTGTCTATTGCAGTTATTAATTCCCATACCGTCGCGTTACGTCGAACAGTCTGCGTCTGCGCGAGAAAAATTTTGTCTCTCCGACAAGCTTATCTCTCAAAGAGGTTTTTTTTTCATCGATTTTTTTTATTATTAGAATTTTAAGAACAGTTCGCGCGAAGTTTGTGTGTTTAATTAACAAAGATAACAAAACGCTTAACGACAAAAATTGTGAAAGTCGAAGATATAAAAATGAAGATCTCGATATTTTGACGCGCGTTTTTTCACGCGCGTCAACGTCAACGAAACTGCCCGTCCGACGACGACGGCCGTTTCGTTTTGCGACAGTTATCAGATATTTCTTTCGACTCGCGTGATGTCACAACGTGCACAAATAAAGACATCACTCTTTCGCGTAGATTCCCAGCGATACGGAATTCTCACGTACAC